AGTTTTTTAGCTGCAGTACAGCGTTTTAACCACTGCGCCATGAGGCTCATTAGCTTTCTTGGACTTTGTTCTTCAGCTTAAGAGATGGGAGAGGTCCTATCTTTTATATTTTTCTCATGCTTAGTCCTCCTCCTTTTCTTTTTCCCCGTTTTGGGAAATATTCCTTAAACAAGGAAACAAGACTCCTTGCTCCTTATGTGAACATCTTCAGTAGGGGCTCACACACCGGATGAATGCTTTTTGATTAATTTAGTGTTTTGTTTTGTTTTAATAACAGGAGCTAAAGATGATTGGTCTGGATATCCCTCACTTTGTGGCAGATCTCCCTATGAATCGCAGTAAAAATCGTTACACAAATATCCTGCCTTGTAAGTTATTATAGGATGAGGACCATACAGTTACCTTGGAATGTGCCTTCTTTGAATTGAATGCTGTGCTAGATATACATCCAGACATTAGGCATTCAGCTGATCTGCAGCCATTCTGCACAATTGGGCATGATGTCACATGGGGTCACGAAGAGTCAGACACAACTAAACGACTAAAAGACGACGACAAGAGAACTGATTTGTGAAGGCAAGAGGAGAAGGGGATGACAGAGGACAAGATGGTTGGACAGTGTCATCGAAGCGACCAATATGAATTTGACCAAACTCCGGGAAGCAGTAGGAAGACAGGAGGGCCTGGCGTGCTCTGGTCCATGAGGTCACGAAGAGTCGGACACGACTAAACGACTAAAAGACGACGACAAGAGAACTGATTTGTGAAGGCAAGAGGAGAAGGGGATGACAGAGGACAAGATGGTTGGACAGTGTCATCGAAGCGACCAATATGAATTTGACCAAACTCCGGGAAGCAGTAGGAAGACAGGAGGGCCTGGCGTGCTCTGGTCCATGAGGTCACGAAGAGTCGGACACGACTAAACGACTAAAAGACGACGACAAGAGAACTGATTTGTGAAGGCAAGAGGAGAAGGGGATGACAGAGGACAAGATGGTTGGACAGTGTCATCGAAGCGACCAATATGAATTTGACCAAACTCCGGGAAGCAGTAGGAAGACAGGAGGGCCTGGCGTGCTCTGGTCCATGAGGTCACGAAGAGTCGGACATGACTAAACGACTAAACAACAACAAGAGAACTGATCATCCATGTCTCCGAAATGTACTGCTCCTTCTCTTGCAGCTGCTGGCTGATTGCCACCTGCCTTCTGACCTTGAGGAAGAAAAGGAAGTGTGTATGATCAATTTGGAGCATAGAAGCATAAAATGCATATGATTTATAATCACATTAGCAGATTTCCCTTCATTTAAATCAGTTCCAGGATGGAGAAACTTAGCCCTCCTCTCTCTGTCTCTCTCTTCCTCTTTCTTCTCTTCCTCCCTAATATTTCAGCTCATATTTGTTAGGAGTGAATATATTGTTATTTTTAAATCTTATATTCCCGAGTAAGTCTTTGTGGGAATGAAGAGGTTCTGCAGCTCCAAGTGAATCAGAATTTTTGTGGATGATGATAATGAAATCTCTCACTGTTGGGTGTGAGTTTACTGATGCGTTCATAAAGCTGGACACCCTGCAGTCTCATTTTTCCTCCAGAATGCATGCAAATTTATGATAAGCTCTCAGAGCTCTAATTGGAAATTGATTCGTTTGTGATAAGCCTTTAAGCTCAACCTACGTCTGGGTGTTTTTCTTTTTTGCAGATGATTTCAGCCGTGTTCGATTAGTTTCAATGAATGAAGAGGAGGGCTCTGATTATATTAATGCCAACTATATCCCTGTGAGTAACTTGGACTTAAATTAACCAGTGGAATAATGCTGTTATTATAGCCTGGGAAATATTACATAGGGTGCAAACAAGGGCCAAATTTGTTGATAGACTTGTTTTCTCTAATAGCAAACTCAGATGATGAGTTGGGGGGGATGGCACAAAAAAATAAAGGAATGGTTTCTATAGATTTAAGAGATTCTAGAATTACAGAGATACATACGACTGTAGATTGAAAATAAACTATTGTACTATGGATTCATCATAATAGGATAGGACTCAATAGAAAAGACAATAGTGTTATGAAAAGTTGAAGTCAATAGGAAAAGAGGAAGACCAATAAGAGTTGGGTTGACTCAATAAAAGAAGCCACAGCCCTGAGTATACAAGAGGTGAGCAGAGCTATCGACAATCAAACTTCTTGGAAATCACTCATTCATAGGAAATCACTTGGAAATCACTAAAGCAGGTTGAGAGAATATAAATTAGGAACAGAAGGAAATTTGGAGAAGGGGGCTGTTGCAGAGTTTTGCATTTTGATTAAATTCTTCTAGTGGCTGAGCAGGGATTTACAGAGGAGAATAGCTTCCAGTCTCCCAGAGTCAATACCTTTTTCTCAGCAACTGGCACTTACAGTCTCAGTAACTCGCTCTGAGACATTTGAAATATAAAGAATAAAAGTATTTCATTTCCTTACAGTTCGGGACAGCAAACGAACAAAACATGGCTGACTGCTTTCAGCAAAGGCCTCAACAGACTGATTTCCCGCAGACTAAAGAAGGGGGGAGGACAGAGTGGAGAGACAGGCTCTCTTTGGGAAAGAACAATTGGTTAGTGCCAGGGAGATTGACAGTCACCCCCGCCCAGTCACACCTAGAAGATGTATATGATAGTACAGTGGTGCCTCGCTTGATGACAATTCATTCCAGCGAAATCGTTGTAGAGCGAAAACGTCATCAAACGAAATAAAAAACCCATTGAAACACATTGAAAACCGTTCAATGCATTCCAATCATCCAGCGAAGATCCTTCATATAGTGGCCATTTTCTGGTGCCCTTTAAGCGAAAAATCAGTCCTAAAAACAGCGGGGGGGCATTTTCTTCAGCCGACGGCCATTTTGGAACCCGACGATCAGCTGTTTGCTGATCATCGTAAAGCAAAAATCGGTTCCTGAAGCAGGGAACCGATCATCGTGAAACGAAAAAAACCATTTAAACCATCGTTTAAGTGGATTCGTTGTTATATGGGGAAATCGTCCAGCGGGGCACAACTGTATAACAAAACCCCAACAGCAGCAGGCATTCAAAACACCAGTGGATTTCCAGAATTTACAAAATGTTGGTGTTAGTTGAGTTTTAGATGCAAGAGGAAAAGCTCCAGCATCAGCAGGGTGTTAGGTTAGAAGACTCTTGGGGTCCCATTGGACTTTACAGTTCTGTGATTCTAGGTGTAAAAAGAACAGACACTGGGCAAAAAAGTATGTGTCTGAGAATTAAATCTTCAGTGTATCAATACTGAGGGATGGGACCAGATAGGAAGGAGAAGGGAGGAGCAGCAGTTGACACCATGTGCTCTCTCTCTCTCTCTCTCTCTCTCTCTCTCAGGGCTACAACTCGCCACAGGAATACATTGCAACCCAAGGGAAGGGCTACAACTCGCCACAGGAATACATTGCAACCCAAGGGCCATTACCAGAGACAAGGAATGACTTTTGGAAGATGGTCCTCCAGCAGAAGTCACAAATCATTGTTATGCTCACACAGTGCAACGAGAAGCGAAGGGTATGTTACAGAGTCTTCCTTACCATTTGGGAAACATAGTTAATCTTAAAGGCCCATCCTTGCCCAGCATTCCGTATCTAGCCGTGGTCCTTGATATTATTCCCAATGCTTTGCAAGCAGGACATAGTCACCTTGATGGTTTGGCTCTTCATCTCAAGCTCAGAAGATGGGAGGAAGCTGTGTGGTCCTTATACCTGCTCCAAAGGCAAGAGCGGGAGGATACTTTTATTAACCATGTCCTGTCAAGTCAATTCTGACATGTGGCAACCCTTTTCAGAGTTTTTCAGGTAGGGAATACTTAGAAGTGGTTTGCCATTCCCTTCTTCTGGGGGCCACTCTGTGACTGTGCCGCTTGCCCATGACTACAGAAACGGGCTCTTCTCCCTGGATTAGAAAATCAAAGGCCCAACCTCTGGCTACCAAAGACCGCTGAACTACCCAGCCGTCTTTATTAGACCAATAAAAAAAAATCACCAACAAAGGCTAACTTTAGCTTTCTCCGGTGGGACACCACTTCTCTGTGGATGCTGCAAGAAAAATACAAGAGCTCCAGAAATCATGGTTAGATGTCTATGCCAGTTTCTAAGTGAGACCTGGAAGATCAAGCCGGGAATGTTGGCTTTAAAGTCCAAACTTTTCAGCAATCTTTTCTCTGAATCTGCAGGACGTATTCATTTCTGAGGTGAAAAAATCCAGTTTTTCTTGCTCCTGAATTTGGATTTTAGCTTTTTCCCTTGCCCAAATATATATATATTTAATGGTAGAATTTTTGAAAACAAATAGAAACGATTCTCCCCTATTTTCATCAGCCAGGTTTAGTATGTACTCTTATTCCCAGCATGGAACAGACAATGCTGGACTGAAGGACAGCTTATGACCACAGTGGAGGCACCCCCAACCCTTGATTTTGAGATGAGTTCCCATGATCCAGTCCATGGGTTGCGCCTGGTTGTACCTGCCTAGCCATGTTGGTTTTAGCATTCCCCTGAAAATAAGCATTCCCTTGGGGAAAAAAACACAGTAACCCTGAAACAGCACTAACATAAGGGATTCAAAACCAGACTTCCAAGAGTTAGAAGCAAAATAGATGCTAAAGGGAATGTCTATTCCCTATGATCAACTCATTTTCTCTCCTGCAACAGGATTTTCTCATTGATACTGCTTTAGCAATCAGACGTACAGATTGAACCTGTGTTACCCTTTTAATGGCCAATCACAAAACAAAGTACTCTAAATGCATGATGTTTAGGTGTGGGAAATCATGTGCCGTGACAAACAAATGTCTTTCACCACTTGAGGGAGCATCTCTGCAAAAAAACGTGGGCTTCAAGAACTTGAAGCCTGGGGCTTGGATAAGCAAAGCTGACAATTTCACATTCTCTGTGACTGTGCCGCTTGCCCATGACTACAGAAACGGGCTCTTCTCCCTGGATTAGAAAATCAAAGGCCCAACCTCTGGCTACCAAAGACCGCTGAACTACCCAGCCGTCTTTATTAGACCAATAAAAAAAAATCACCAACAAAGGCTAACTTTAGCTTTCTCCGGTGGGACACCACTTCTCTGTGGATGCTGCAAGAAAAATACAAGAGCTCCAGAAATCATGGTTAGATGTCTATGCCAGTTTCTAAGTGAGACCTGGAAGATCAAGCCGGGAATGTTGGCTTTAAAGTCCAAACTTTTCAGCAATCTTTTCTCTGAATCTGCAGGACGTATTCATTTCTGAGGTGAAAAAATCCAGTTTTTCTTGCTCCTGAATTTGGATTTTAGCTTTTTCCCTTGCCCAAATATATATATATTTAATGGTAGAATTTTTGAAAACAAATAGAAACGATTCTCCCCTATTTTCATCAGCCAGGTTTAGTATGTACTCTTATTCCCAGCATGGAACAGACAATGCTGGACTGAAGGACAGCTTATGACCACAGTGGAGGCACCCCCAACCCTTGATTTTGAGATGAGTTCCCATGATCCAGTCCATGGGTTGCGCCTGGTTGTACCTGCCTAGCCATGTTGGTTTTAGCATTCCCCTGAAAATAAGCATTCCCTTGGGGAAAAAAACACAGTAACCCTGAAACAGCACTAACATAAGGGATTCAAAACCAGACTTCCAAGAGTTAGAAGCAAAATAGATGCTAAAGGGAATGTCTATTCCCTATGATCAACTCATTTTCTCTCCTGCAACAGGATTTTCTCATTGATACTGCTTTAGCAATCAGACGTACAGATTGAACCTGTGTTACCCTTTTAATGGCCAATCACAAAACAAAGTACGCTAAATGCAAGATGTTTAGGTGTGGGAAATCATGTGCCATGACAAACAAATGTCTTTCACCATTTGAGGGAGCACCTCTGCAAAAAATGTGGGCTTCAAGAACTTAAAGCCTGGGGCCTGGATAAGCAAAGCTGACAATTTCACATTCTCCCATAATCAACATTTATTTATTTATTTCTCTCTCTTTCTCTTTTGCTTGCATCGTCTCTATCCTGGTTATGAAGAAACTTGCAGATTTTAATACATTCCTATCAAAAACAAATCAAAACCAAGTTCTCATCTTTCCCAAATTCGATTTGTCAAAGCTAACAATTGTCGATTGACCCCCTCCCCCTCTGTGAAGCTGATGAATCCCCTTTTAAAGTCATTCAAACAAATGGCCACCATTATGGTCTGTGACAGGCAATTCCATTATGTCGATGAATGATACCCTTCCTTTTATTTCTGCCTGGAACCTACTGCCAATTCTTTTCAATAAGTGGCTGCACTTCTTTGACTTAAAGCATAGTCGAGATTGCTGACTCCAATTTCACAGGGATGGTGTGTCAACTGCAGACTTCAGCCTAAATTTTAAGGGAGTTAAAAGCAGATTTAGTGGCCCTGTAAAATCAGAATCAGCACCCTTGCCACACATGTTTGTGGTATTAAAATTCCCTTCGGTCTGCCTTAGTAGTAGTAGTAGTATCAAGTCAATTCTTCAATTCTTTTCAGGGTTTTTGAGGTTGAGAATTCTCAGAAGTGGTTTGTCGTTCCTTTCTCCTGGGAGTGCCCTAAGACTGTGCAGCTTGCCCAAGGCCACACAGGCTTGTTCTACTGTTGGGAATTGAACTCAAAACCTCTGGCTAAATACCTACACCACTGGGCTATCCAGCCAGCTTAAAATACCTTAAAATATATGAAATTTAATTAAAATGTATAAGTTATTTGGGATAAAAGTTTACACGTTTTGGTTCACATGCAAGCCTAAGGTCATTCCCTTCCGGATGAGAATTTTGGTTTATTAAAAATTGAGGAAGTCAGGATCAGGAATCTCATCTCTTAAAAAAAAAACCCGTTGAATTTTTGTTCCTTTGTTTCCAGGTGAAATGTGACCACTATTGGCCTTTTACAGAAGAACCAGTTACTTACGGAGACATCACAGTGGAGATGCTATCTGAAGAAGAGCAATCAGACTGGGTTTTAAGGAATTTCAGAATCAGCTATGTAAGACAATGTGAACGGTTTCAAACAGCTTCTCTCAAGTAGTATTAGTCTTGCCGACTTTAAATCCAAACTTTAAAAGATTCGTAAATCTAATTCTCATTTTAGAAGAATTTCCTCCCTTGCAGTTTTAACTTTCAAACCTTCCTAAACCCTGAACTCCAATGTGCGGCCTCTAGATGTGCTTGACAACAACTCCCATTATCCTTACCCAACGAGTCCCAAACTCATAATAGCAAGGGACAATGGGAGCTCTTCTCCATCACAGCTGAAAGGCACTGTCCTAACGAAGGGTGCTCAACTGTTTCAATAGAATTACAGTAGGATCCCCATATCTGTGAGATCAGTATCTGCTGATTAACTCCTCCTCAGCCTGAAAATATTAAAAATATAATCCGAGAAATATATACAGTGGTGCATCGCTAGACGATGATAATCTGTTCCACTGAAATCGCTGTTTAGCGAAATCATTGTCTAGCGAAAAGCATTTCCCCTTTGGAATGCATTGAAACCTGTTTAATGCATTCCAATGGGGAAGATTCGTCGTTGTCTAGTGAAGATCGGCCATAGGAAAGCCGCTTTGCGAACTGCCGATCAGCTGTTTAAATAGCTGTCTTGCGAAGCTTAGATCCCGAAAACACCCATTTTGCGAGTGCGGAGGGAGCTGTCAAAATTGTTGTCTAGCGAAAATCGGTTTGCGAAGCAGGGACCAAACATTGTCCAGCGAAATTCCCCCATAGGAATCACTGTTTTGCGAATCGCTATAGAGATCACAAAAAAGTCAATGTCTAGCGAAAATACTGTCATGCAGGGTAACTGTCTAGCGAGGTGCCACTGTATTTCTAAAGATGAAGTTACCAGAACTGGCCACTAGAATAAGCCAGAGACCATGTTACATACAGTGTTTGCTATTAAAATGGTATTAGGTAAAATACGCATTTTTCAGCATCTACAGAGGGAGTTTAGAACCAATCTCCCGCAGCTACAGGGGTCCTACTGTGTCATATCTGTGTCGTGTGTGTGTATGTGTGTTTAAGTAACAGAACATTTTGTGTGGACAAATGCACATGTAATATTATTACTTCTGTTCCCCCCATTTGTTGAGATATTGTTGTTATTTTTCAATTGTTTATCCTATTTGCTGTGAGCCACCCAGAGTAGACATTGTCTAGATGGGTGGCATATAAGTTTAATAAACAAACAAACAAACAAAAATATCTTTCCATTGGCTGGAACAGTGGTGGAATGGAGATTGCTAGAATTCTCTCATCAGCATGGCCGTAGTTATAGACCAAAAAAGTAGCTAACTTTCTACATGTTTTGAGACTTGAGTCAAATTTTCAGTGGATAGGTGAAGACAGCTGATTCCAAACTTCTTAACTGGAACAGTTATATCCAAAGAGGAAAATATTGGCTGATTAGAAATTGAAGTTTATATGAATAGGATGTGGACTGCATTGAGTCATAGTTACGCAAAGCGCATTTCTGGGTTCAAAATTCATTCATTCTAAGCACGTATCTTTCACCAGGCTCTTGTGGGTGGAAAGAATGCTAGTAAAAACATAGCAATCCTGCATGCCTAAAATCTCTTAGCTTTAAAAAAAGGTTTGTTGTTGTTTTAAATTGGTAGGCTTTTAGTCAAGGGCCTTTTAGCTACCTAGCTTCTGATTTATCATGCAAAAGCGCCATGTAAATGTTTTGTTCCTCTTTCCTCTTAGGCAGACGAGGTGCAGGACGTGATGCATTTTAATTATACAGCTTGGCCGGACCACGGAGTCCCTCCCACAAATGCAGCCGAGAGCATCTTGCAGTTTGTACAGATGGTGAGGCAGCAGGCCACGCGAAGTAAAGGCCCCATTATCATACACTGCAGGTAAACCCATTCCTCCTCCCTCCATTCTTGGAAGAAACACAAGCTAGAGATGGACAGAGAGAAACGCCTTCCACCTGTCAACAAACCTATTTTTGTCTTTTGTGTTTGAAAACAACTGAAGATCACCAGATTTCCTCCTTGAAAGTCTCTTTGCTTGATATTCTGTCATGGTTGCTTCTTCCAGGTGGAGTAGTAAATTTTAAAGGTCAGCCAGTCACCATGATAGTCCCCATAACCATACCTCTGGGAAGACTCTGAGAAGCACGTCTGTCATTATCCTCTAAAAACTAACCAGGCATTTAGAGATCAGTGGCTCCCTGTAAAACCAGACATAGCTAGCGTGGCTCCATGTGACTATTAGATACATTGGGACGTATCTTCTTTGAACTAGATGCTGTGCTAGCACTAGTTCCAGCCATTAGGCATTCAGCTGATCGGTATCCATTCTGTGACACAATCAGGGAGGGTGTCAAGAGCCGCTGGACAGCTCAGTGGTTTAGGTCTCTGGCTGCAGAACCAGAAGTTAAGAGTTCAGTTCCTCACTGTCTCTCCTTGACAAGGGCTGGACTCTTTGATCCATAAGGTTCTGCTATTCTAAGATGCTGACAATGATCATATACAGTAACTTAAGGGAGTGCTAATGCTGTGGGTGTGGCACAACAACCTTGGGGAACCATGTTGTTATGGTGGGTGGTGCTTCATTGCTTTACAGCAATTAGGGGGATTAACGGGAAGAACCCCCATGCATCCTGCTTTTTTTTTAATTTGGGGGTTAGGGGTTCCCTCAAAATATGGCAGAATTGTCCCATACACCCACTAGAAGCACAAGAGTACTTTTGCACAGAAGAGAATGGGAGGGGTATTCTGGGAGATCAGAAGAACATAGGGGGTTCTGCATTTTCTTTTGCCACCTGGATTATAGCTTTATAAATAGCAAGCTATATAAATGTTTATGGCATCTACACTTCTTGGATCTGAAGACTTGGGCGACAGTCAATGAAGCTTATGTCAAATACAACTTTTCCGTGTTTCGGATACCCCAAGATTCGTTGTTGACTTTTTTTAAAAAGGGTGATGTATGAAACTTGTCCAGCAAAAAGTATGCATGAAGATTGTGCAGCGCATAATAATAAAAATAAGGATAATGAGATGAGTCCTCTGAAACAGATTGGTTGAAATCCTCTTGCCTCGCATAGTAGGTCTCATAAGGCAAGTCCATTGAATCGGTGGGGATTTAATGAATCAAATCCTCTGTAAGTTCCACTATTTCAAGTGGGTCTATTCTAGTTGCAATTTGCTACACAAAAGTAAGTTGCACCTAGAGTAGTCTCATTTAAATCAATGGAGCTTATGATGGAGTTGACTCACCAGATCCTCACTGATTCAATGAGCCTACTCTGGTGTGACTAACAGTAAGCAACAGACATTGTATTTTGCAACTGCAATGTATATTTGCAAAGTACGTGAGGTTTTCCAGAATGGAACAATGTAGGAATCAGGCACCTTCCCACCCTTCCAGAGTTTGATATTGAATGTCTCTTGTGTTTTCCAGTGCCGGCGTGGGACGGACAGGGACTTTCATAGCACTGGACCGGCTTTTACAACACATTCGTGATCATGAGTTTGTAGATATATTAGGGCTAGTGTCCGACATGAGATCTTATCGGATGTCCATGGTTCAGACAGAGGTATGAATTCCAATTCTATATATTTCCAAGAACAAGACTGTATTTGATTATTGCTCTGAGCAATTTTTATCCCTTCCTGCAACAATGGCATAGAAAAAGTTTAAGTGAATATAAATCTATAATTAATATATATATATATATATATATTAAAGGACCAGAATATAGAAAAGCAAGTTCCTAGTACCCTAGGTATTCTTGTCTGGCACTCTTACAAGGCATTGAATTCTACCAAACTTTTATTACTCAAGAGATAACAGAGAGCATGGGTCAACTGAGCATGGCCTGTGAGCTGTGCATAACTCTTTTGACTCTCAGTGAATCCCCCCCAGGCTGTCTGGACCCAAATCTCAGAAAAATATTATTTACACTAAATTGCTAATTCGACTTTGAGAGAACTTTGGGGAGAGTGCAGCTGGCCATCGAAGTGTAATTTTGACTCCCACCGGCCTGTTTCAGACCAGAATACCCCCCTTTGTAAGAAGAGGAAGAAACTCGCCAGTTACTTTCTGTTTCTTTAAAATGGATTTTTTTTAAAGATAAAAGGCCCCACGTGTATGGGGATGATGGTGAAAGGTCCCTCTTCCATGTATGGACGTACAATTTAGTATTGTGTGATGGTGACACCTTTTCCTTAGGGCATTCAAAGATGGCAGACCTTCTGAGGTTGCCTCTCTGTGATACAGAGACTTAGGCTATACAGAATTTTAAAATCAGGTTTTAAATGATGCTGAGATATCCTTCTACACACCACTAGCTCCCTTTCCATGTCCTGCTTCTGAGCATTCAACACATTTTATAGAGTTTTCTTTATGAGTAATATGAGGCATGTTACCATGAAAAACAATATAAGGTTAAGTGTCTGGGCTGTTATTAAACTTTTGATTACACTGGAGTCCTAGTTCTCCTCTGTTCGGCACTGGTTATGCCACATCTTGAATCCTGTGTCTGGATACCGCACTTTTGAGAAGGATGCTGGCAAACTGGAACGAGTCCAGAGGAGGGCAACAAGGATGATCAGGAAACTGGAAGCCAAACCCTAGGAGGAAAGACCAGAAGAAATGGGCATGCTTAGCCTGGAGAAAAGAAGACCAAGAGGAGATATGATAGCATTTTTCAAATATCTGAAAAATAATTATAAAGAAGAGGTGCAGGGTCTGTTCTCAATCGTCTCAGAGCGCAGGGCACATAATAATGGACCCAGATTTAGGGCTGAATATCAGGAAAAGGGACGTGGTGGCGCTGCGAAGGGACGTGGTGGCGCTGCGGGCTAAACCGCAGAAGCCTGTGCTGCAGGGTCAGAAGACCAGCAGTCGTAAGATCAAATCCACGCGACAGAGTGAGTGCCTGTCGCTTTGTCCCAGCTCCTCGCCAACCTAGCGGTTCGAAAGCATGTAAATGCGAGTAGATAAATAGGGACCACCTCGATGGGAAGGTAACAGCGTTCCGTGTCTAAGTCGCATTGGCCATGTGACCACAGAAAGATTGTCTTCGGACAAAACGCTGGCTTTATGGCTTGGAAACGGGGATGAGCACCGCCCCCTAGAGTCGAACACGACTGGACAAAAATTGTGAAGGGGAACCTTTACCTTTACCTATCAGGAAAAACCTCCTAAATATTTGAGCAGACAAAGGAGCTAATTACCTCAGGTGGCGGTGAGTGCTCCAACAGTGGGGGCATTCAAGAGAAAATTGGATAATCATTTGTCCGATTTGATTTGATTTTGATTTGTGCACTGAGCCAGGGGTTGGACTCGATAACCTTATAGGTCAATTATTCTGTGGTTTTATGCATTCAGACAACTGTGCTGCTCAGGTGACTAACGAGTTAATGCAGGTGTGGGCAACTTGAGGCCTTCTAGACTTTCTTAGACTCCTGCCATCTCTGATGATTGGCTACACTGGCTGCCTCCTCCTGGGAACTGGAGCCCAACAGCATCTGGAGCTCCCACCTGTCACCTAACAGAACGTGTTGAGAAGGGAGATGGACAAGTTCTTTTTAACGTTGGATCCTGGACTTTGCACCTTTGTACAACAATAGAATAGAAGGCAGGTGACTTCAGTTCCATTCCTTACCTTAGCCTGAGCGACACAAACAGCTGATGATTCAGTTAATCTGTGGTTGGACTGTACTAGTCACCGATGGGGGAAGAGCAGGCATGATCTGACTGCTTCTCTCGCTCCGTCCTGCTCTCTCTCTCTTCGTGTGTGTGTGTATGTGTGCAAACACTCAAGCCTGGATTACACATGCCAAACTTGGACGATGACATGCCAAAGGCATAAACTGTATCACCTTTGAGATATCCTTTGTTGTTGTTAGTGGGCAATGTGTAGCCTGCATAATTAACTTATAAACCACCCAGAGAGTGCTTTAAGAGCTATGGGACGGTATATAAGCAGCACACTTTGCTTTTTGTTTGTTGTTGTTGTTCCATACCATCAAATCACCATGAAGGAGTGAACTCCAAAATGTCCTATCCTCAACAGCCCTGTTCAGCTCTTGCAAGTTCACACTTATGGCTTCTTTTAGGGAGTCAATTCATCTCGTATTTCGTCTTCCTCTTTTCCTGCTGCCTTCAGCCTTTCCCAGCATTATTGTCTTTTCCAGAAAATCCTGTCTTCTCATGATGTGCCCAAAGATATCCTATAGCATTATTTTTTAAAAATGTATTATTCCAAAATTAGCTTGATTCATTATTGTTGTTGCTGTTGTTTTACTTCTGCCTTTTTTTAAAAAAAACACACTCCAGGTCCCTTCACTTAGTTTGGGTATAAATCTGGTCCTGCCTCCAGCCAGAAGGATTTAAATCTATCTTTTCTCCTGGAATGCTTTTTCTTAAAAGCTGGCAAACACATATTTCAAAGAAAACAATAATGGGACATTTGAACATGCGACCACAGTCACTTGTAGGCTAAGGATGTGTCTCAGTCCAGGACCAAAACTATCTTTCCTCGCCCTGTTTTGTGAAGGCTGGGCTAAGACTTGCCCTGTATTCAGTTCAGAGTGCTGCCTGGTTACAATGCCTGTTCTTTTACTTATCTCTGCCTTCCATGGGTTTGCATAGTAGAACTTAATTAGTTTTTCTCCGGAGTGCCCAGAGGCAGTGGCTGCCAACTTCCGTGTTGTTTTTGAGGCCCTGCTGTTTGCCAGCTCGCGCGTCCCCCTGTTACCTTGGCAAAGCATCACTACATTCTCTCTCTCTCTCTCTCTCTCTCTCTCTCCCCCCTCCCCTTTTCTCTCTCACACACAAAATGTAGCAGACAGCAGGGCTTTGTAATGCTTTGGCAAACTGGATCAGGATTATAGAATGAGCCAAATGCCTGCCAGTAGGTACCACTCAGGAGCAGGATATGATGCACAGGTTGGCAGGACTGGAGTATTTTTGTTGGGGTGGTGGTGGAATGTGTGTGAGAGAGAGGGGGGGAGGAGGAGAGGGAGAGGGAGAGATGGAGGAGCTCCTGCTTTAATCATCTGGCTTTCTCCTCTCCTTTTTTGTTTGGCAACCTGAGAAAAGAAGAGAAAATCCAAAATCTCAACCAAGCATCACTATGATTAAAAGAAAAAGATAAAAGCATATTTCATGGGATCAGCTTGACAGATACATCTCCATTTATTAGAATGCCGTTATATTTCTGATGCTCTGAGCAGTAGTTAGTTTGGCTCAGCTCCTGAGAGCATATGGTTCGACCCACCTGCTTGCATCACCTAGACCATTGTGGCTGTTCCAGCAACGGACTTTGCTGTAACCTCCACCACTAACAACCCCGTCTGTTGCCTCATCACAGCACATTGTTAATGGCATGGCATGCACCTCACCTTTAGAGGGTGATATACGGTGAGTCTTGGCTTGTGCTTCGTCATATATGCAAGGAGACATTGGCCCCTTTTCAGTTCCGGCCCTGCTGAGTGACACATGCACCTAATCTCCCCATGGCTTCTTTCTGGCCAGCTCCGTACCTTATGCAAAGGTCGAAAAGAGGTCTGTTTCTTACCTCCTTGCCACTAATCAGCATCATAGGCCTGTGTGTGTGCGTGCGTGCAGGTGTCTGTCTGTGGAACTTGGCGGCCATTTTGCTGTGCCGACTGTGTGAATCCTGAAAGGGAGTGACTTGTCCTGAAACACGTAGGGATATATAGGCTTTCTTTACACGAGGCTGTCAGGGTCATCAAGCTACAGTTCTCGACCTCCTAGCCAAAGCCTCTCTGTCTGGTGACCACTTGTGCACTGGTTGTGAATTTGGGTGCACAACTTGTTGCATGAAGGACAGCCTAATGTGTGCCGACTGTGTGAATCCTGAAAGGGAGTGACTTGTCCTGAAACACGTAGGGATATATAGGCTTTCTTTACACGAGGCTGTCAGGGTCATCAAGCTACAGTTCTCGACCTCCTAGCCAAAGCCTCTCTGTCTGGTGACCACTTGTGCACTGGTTGTGAATTTGGGTGCACAACTTGTTGCATGAAGGACAGCCTAATGAAAGAGAGAGCCCTTATCTCCCTGTGGCTTCTTTCTGGCCAGCTCCATACCTTATGCAAAGGTTGAAAATAGGTCTGTTCTTTTTCTTACCTCTTTGCCATTAATCAGCATCATAGACCTGTGTGCATGTGTGCGTGCAGGTGTCTGTCCGTGAAACGTGGCAGCCATTTTGCTGTGGCGAATGTGTGAATCCTGAAAGGGAGTGACTTATCCTGAAACACAGAGAGAGATATTGTATACGCTTTCTTTACATGAGCGTGTCAGGGTCATCAACCTCCCAGCCAAAGCCTCTCTGTCTGGTGACCACGTGAGCACTGGTTGTGAATTTGGGTGCGCAACTTGTTGCATGAAGGACAGCCTAATGAAAGAGAGAGAGAAAATATTGCTCTTTACCTCCACAGCTTTTTGCATCATCTTGGTCATAGTCTTCAAGGGGGAGACTCATGTTAATCTGCAGCAGCAAAGGCGGTGAAAAGTCTTGTGCCACTTTGAAGACTAACTGGTATATTTAGCATAAGCTATTGTGCAGTGCAGCCTGTTTCTTCAGAGAGATGAAGTGTAGCCTCCAATAGACAAGAGATTTATACAGACAGGAAGAGTAAATGGCTATCTACTGGAGGGTATACTCCATGCCTTTGAAGAAGTGGGCCACATTCCACAAACGCAGATGCCAGATAAAATGTTTGAAGTTCTAAGGGGTCACAAGACTTGTGTTTGAGAGATACAATGGCTGAAATCCTGTTGCGCAGTTACATAAAAAGTGTAACCTTTTGAAACAAACTGTTGTTAAGAAACCTCCATAGGCATTATCTGTCCTATGCCAAGTTGCATAACTTGCTTTTTTAACAGATAATGCCTATGGAGATTTCTTAAGAGGGTATACTCCATGCCTTTGAAGAAGTGGGCCACATTCCACAAACGCAGATGCCAGATAAAATGTTTCAAGTTCTAAGGGGTCACAAGACTTGCGTTTGATAGATACAGTGGCTGAAATCCTGTTGCGCAGTTACATAAAAAGTGTAAAGTTTTGAAACAAATTGCTGTTAAGAAACCTTTGTAGGCACTATCTGTCCTATGCCAAGTTGTATGACTTGGTTTTGAACAGATAATGCCTACGGAGATTTCTTAACTTAGAGCAATTCACTCCCAAAATTTACTCCTTTTGTATAACTATGCAAATGGATTTGAGCCAGTGTTCCCAAAAGTTACTCCTTTTGTGTAACTATGCAAATGGATTTGAGCCAGTGTTTCTAGTAGATTAGTTTTTATGTTATATCAAGATTATAAATCTTGTGTTTTGGTTCTGTTAGCTACTTCAAATTTGGTACCCAGTTTGATGTGGTAGATAGAAATTAGAACGGTTTTGAATCTCAGCTCAGCCATGGAAAGTCACAGTGAGGTGGAACTGGTAAAACTACTCCTTAAATGTCTCATTTACCTTGAAATCCTTATTAGGGCTGCTATAAGTTGATTTCAGCTTGACTGCACAGAACACACACCGCTGCCTCTAATGCTTTTTGTTTGTTTGGGTGGAAGGGTACGGTATTGGGTAAGCAAACGAGAAAGAAGGCGGGAGTGAGAGAGGGAGTATGGAAAGATCGGTACTGTGTTATGCCATGAGTTTTTTAACGGGTGGTCCCAGTTAAAATCACCCAGCACCGAGGCTCCTCCATCTTTGCGTTTGTGTGTAATTTGCATCAGGTATACTGAACAGAAGAAAGGTGCTTTCTAGAAGCCCTTTTTACACAATTCCCCCCTGCTCCCTGCTATTTTAGTAACGAAAATCAGACATGAATTATCATACTGAATTATCTGTACTTTCAGTGAGAAGTTGTCTAGCTTCTTTCCTTTTCGGGTAATCTATTTCAATCCTTCCTTTCTCAGTTGAGCCCCAAAAAAGTATTATTTCCTTACTCTTGACCACTAGAGGTCAGTGTCGCTTCAGGCGCAGGATGCATGCCTTGTGAATCTTTCAGTAGAAAACCTGAAACCTCACTGCCCTCGCCTTTTCACCTGGTTTCAGATTTCTTCATGGGGTGGAAAATTAATTGGTCAGTCTCGCCACATTGTTCCCAAGTCTTCTGGGTGAAATAGGAGGGAAAGTTGTGGCATGCAGTTAAGAAATGGTCTGGAGGTTTGCCTTTCAGAGAATGGTTGAAAGCTCAACAGAGCTGGTGACTGAATTTTCTTGCAAACCCCACCCTCAGCCTTGCAGTCTAAACCTGTCAAATATTTTGGAAAGGGCTAAATAATACTCCTGTGCAGTCTTTCCGTTTGGAAAAGCAGGACAAATGTTCGCGGAGTAGCCAAATTATCAGTGCTTGGGAATATTCAGAGCAGCTGCCTCGTATTTTTTCAGCAATAAGGATGTAATTATTCATTTATTTCATTCTCATAGGAGAGAGCAAAAGGGCAAGGGTTTTCTCCTTGGTGATTGATATTATGAGGATTGTTGTACATTTTTTGAGTTACAGGACTTATTTTGTGAAAATTTTCCAGAAGTGTTTTTTGCACACAAAAAGCTGTGTATTGTAGAAACCACTGTATTTTGCACAAAGTGCATTTTCACACAAAATACAAATTTCTGCATAAGATGCAAAGTTTTTGTTTTACTAGCCCTAGTGATGGCATCCAAAGAAGCGCTGGTCTTTTTGCTGTCATGAAGGAGCGAATCATCATGCAGCAATTGGTGTCCAGACGTCCCTTTTTGTTGAGGATATGGAAATTTCCAAATATTTGTTGCATCTACAGCTTACCACAAACTGGAAAGGAAGACTGGGCATTCTTGCACCCATATTGCAGACACAGTCTTCAAACTCATCTAATAGTCTCTGGTTGGTTTTACAGCACAGGTGTGATTTGAATGTGGGGCTTCCCAATGCACAAGTTGTGCCACTATACCAGATCAAGCCCTCCGCCCCCCACTGCTGTACCGGGTTCTCCTTAAGAAAACTTGATTTAGATTTTAGTGTACACAGGGAGCACATGCGTACATGGACTACTGTGACAGGGGAGTGAGTTTTTCTGCCCCTCTGGTAGAGCTCCATTTATTATGTGGTGGTTGGGGAACAACTCCACATATGTGAACACTGTGAGATAGAAGGCGAGAGGGATACCCCACTCACTGGGGAGCCGTCCCTCCTCCACAACGAGGATGAGGAGGCAAGACCCCAGCCAGCACCAGAACCTACGAGGACAGTGATAGAGGAACTGAGTGAAAGAATGCAGAAAATAACGATGGAGGAGGTCCAGGAGGAAAAGGCGGGAAAGGAGAGGAAAAAGAGGGTGGAGCTTGAGGCAGGAATAGGGGAGGTAAAAAGGAAGGAAGGGTAGTTGCTGTCCCCTCTTTCCCTTTCCACACCCTTCCCTTTCCTCCTCTTCCCTCTCTGTTCTCCCTGATCACCCCCCCAGCTGCTGCCTTGTATTGACGGGTGGTGTGGCAGAAGAGGGGGTTCTTCCAAGTGGCCTCAAGAGCTGAAGGGCTGACCATCAGCTGTTGGGGAGCTGTTGAGATAGCAAGAATTTTCATGCTGTTGTTGTGTTTCACCACTTTTTTGCAGGAAAAAAATGGCAGAAACCTTTTTTTTTGCTCAAAAAAGTGCAATTGCACATAAAAATTTTGCATTTCTTATTGCATTTGGTAACATGTAAAAAGGCAAGGTTTTGTGCAGATGCTGGAGCAAAAAAAAAAAAAAAAACCCACCCTCACAGAGTTTGACCATTTGTCCTGGTGTGTTGAGACAGACTTTTCCATTAACAGCAGGAAATGTGTGATTTTCCTTGCACCCTTATCCAGTGTGCACTCAAAACAAAAAAACCAACAACCCTCACAGAGTTTGACCATTTGTTCAGCAGGGAGTCCTGGTGTGTTGAGACAGACTTTTCCATTAACAGCAGGAAATGTGTGATTTTCCTTGCACCCTTATCCAGTGTGCACTCAGCTGTTGCCTGTAGTTGCCTGTTACAGTGGTGATCCAGTTATCATTCTGGAGAAGCTTGTCTTCTGTAACCGATCTTTGCATTGAACAAAGGTAGTTTGGTGAATGAAGGGTGGTGGCGGCTGTTGACATAGGTTCACATCCATTCTTGGGCTAAGAATGTGAGTTGGTGACCTGAAGTAAGCTTGCAGTTCTTAATCAGGGTACAGTCTCAAAAGGAAACAATAAGGAAAACCCAGTTGCTAGCCCATGTACCCCCATCATGGTGACGCTTGCAAAGTGACTTTGCAAAAGAATGAATAGAATGGTATGGTGAAATTAAGCATAATTGAATCTTTGTAGGATCATGCTCCAGGATTGTGATCATCCTCCTAACATGCTCACCTAAGGTAGTTTCAGTACACCCATATCACTTTCTAAGCACTAATTTTGATCTGTTTTATGGAAAGGTAGCTGTGCACCAGAAATGGTAAACAGAATTGACAGATGTTGACGGACCTACCTCTGCAGGTCATCACAAAGCAAATTTATTTGTATACTAGATTGGTAGGCAGGTCAGTCTTTGTTTCTTTTATTATTATTATTGTTATTATCATCATCAATAGCAACAAAAGGGTGGTTAACAGAAGGAACAAGCAGTCTCTAGAGGACTAGAGGATGCAGACACACATCCCTGGAAGATGCTTGATTCTACTGCTTTCTTTAAAAAATTGGGAGTTTTAATGTTCAGCCTTCATGCACAGAGTTTACAGAGTGGAGGACAGAGTACCAAGACACCCCCAAACATGGTAGAATGCCCCCCCATGATGGCCACATGGAACAGATGGACCACAAGTTGCCCACCCCCAGTTGATTTTCTTCGTCGCAACTGAGGGCTGTAATCACTTCTGGGAGGCAGAGGAAAAGGCTGGGACTAATCAGGATTAGAGCATGAAAAAGTGACGTTTTGGGGGATTACAATTTGCAGTTCGCTTTTCTGTGGCCAAGGTATGGAAGAGCACTCTTAAAACCCTGGAGGACAGGAGGTGGGGGGAAGCAAATGTAATGGATTTGAGTGCACGGATCCAGAAAGCTCGCCTTCTGGAGGTGAAACAGAGCCTTGTTGTTGTCTTTCCGCAGGAACAATTCATTTTTATTCATCAGTGTGTGCAATTAATGTGGCTAAAGAAGAAACAGCAGTTCTGCATCAGCGACGTCATATATGAGAATGTCAGCAAGTCGTAATTCCAAGTCACGGGTGGTAAGTTAGGAAAGCCATCCCTTGGCTGCTGTACTCGCTTTTGACAACGCTGCTGCTCATGCAGGAGCAGCTGCTGTCATAAATATTAATGCAGAGGCCTTTACTGATGGCAACCGTCAGATCCTCTGAACCAGTTGCCATGTAGCATCTGGATTCACCACATCTAGTTTCAGGTAGGCGAAGCCTACCTGTGCTTGCTAAGCACAGAAGCAACACCAGAGGTCTCCTCTCAAAGTCTAGGCTTTAAAGATTGTCTACAGTCCCAGAGTGTTGACCACTAAGGCTGATGTGAAGTCCATTCTCCCTGCATTTGTGCCTCCAATACAGTGGTGCCTCGCTTAACAACAATAATCCATTCCAGGAAAATCGCCGTTAAGCAAAAACATAGTAAAGCAAAATTAAAGACCCCATTGAAACGCATTGAAACCCGTTCAATGCATTCCAGTGGGTTAAAAACTCACCGCCCAGCAAAGATCCTCCATATGGTGGCCATTTTCGCTGCCTGTATAGCGAGGAATCCATCCCTAAGCACAGCAGGGAGCCATTTTAGGCACCCAGCGGCCATTTTGAAAACCCGATGATCAGCTGTTTTTGATCATTGTAAAGCGAAAATCGGTTCCCGAAGCAGGGAACCGATCATTGCTAAGCGAAATTCCCCCATTTAGACCATCATTTTAACCATTGTAAAGATCATCGTAAAGCAGATTCGTCGTAATGTGGGGCAATCGTTAAGTGAGGCACCACTGTATAACGAGTTAATGCTTTTCTAGTGGGGCTTTGCCTGTGCGTGAGCACACAGATTAATCCGGACCAGTTCAGTTTCCTTTTAATAGCTATATCCTGTTTGTGCCAACATAACATAAAGTTGCACTGGTTGAAAACGTGCTGGGCATGTTGGCCAGCAATAAGGAATTGTGGTCTGCAGTGGCCCAATCAGCCGTGTGTCCTCAACATGACCAATTGTGCAACGCAGAAGTGCTTTGGAGGTGGCACAGGGCACTGGCTAGAATGCTGTTGCATATTTCTGGGGGCGCAGTGCCAGCAGTGTAACTTTCAGTGGCAGATAGATGGAAGTTATGATGTTAGAGTAGGCCTTTCCTACTGCGCGCCGAATCACATGGTTCCAGTTAGTATTGAATTATAATCCAGGCCTCTTGAGCAGATGCCTGCCAGAGGAGGCAAGGCTAAGAAGCTGGGGTGCCCACAGAAGCTGGGTGACTGACCCACCAAACTGTGCTGGACAGCAGAACAGCAGTACATGCCCATCTCTACAGCTCTATATACAACATACAAGAAGGTGGGCCTTATGGCCTTTGTTCCTACCACGCTGTATGTTGTCTACAGGGTTTGCTACTCTCCGCAGTTTCAGACATTTGTGGTAGATCATGGAATGGGTCCCCCTAGAATCTGGGGATCCTACTGCAAATGATTAATGAACTCAAAATAATTTATTTAATTGAGAGCCATTTTTAAATAATATCCATTTTTTTGGGCTCTTTGGCCGTGATCTGACAAGCCCGAAAAACCCACAACAACCGGATATTAGAACAGAACACGGCCAAAGAGCCCGAAAAACCCACAACAACCATTAGATCCCAGTCGTGAAAGCCTTTGCGAATACATCCGGTTGATTATTCACATACGGTACTTGCTACTACTGCTCCTCCTCCTTTCCTTTCTCATTTGCAGGTGAAAACATGAAATGCCTCTATCTTCCCTTGCTTCAGATTTTAATTCTCTCTCTTATTTTGTTTCATTAATTGCTTTCTGATTTGCCATGGACAACAGCTGATTTGCAGAACCCGGACAAACAAACAAACAACAAAAGATGTTACATCCAGAAGCTCTGGGAAGACATAGCCTTAAAGAACCTGTGGTGTCTTGTTTGGAATCTACTTTCTGGACTTGTTTTTTTTAAGTTTGCAATACAAGACCAAATTCAGCTTGGTGACATGAACAGTTTAATGGTGTGCATAAACATACAACACTACCAAAAGGACTTTTCCCCCTTGCATTATCTTCCTTCTTAATTCTTTATTTTCAATCTGCAGGTTGGGCTTAAAGGTTACGGAAAGTGCAATATTTAATCAAAACGGCAATGAACTTTCTCCATGGACCTCTGGTGAGATTTACAAAAGTCAGGAACAGGCAGGGTTAACAATGGATAATCCATCATTAGCACACAGTAAGACAAGGGAAGATGGCAGATGCTTGGGGGGAAAAACAGCCAGCCACCGTGACACTGCCTGTACTCCAGAGGTACCTCCAACGTGGAGCACCCCATGGAGTCATGTCCTTCAAAAATGAACTGGCTCAAAGCAATAGAGAGAAAGCTGGAGGAGACGTCTTCAGACACGCGTGCTTCAGACCCAGCGTTTGAAGGCTGACTGTGTTGTTGGCTCAAGATCAATTATGAACATTGGACCAAGGTTTTGGTACCTCAAGAATTCAAGAGTCGGATGTAGACATGTCTACTTTTCTCTGTTCAGCCCCCCCGTGATAGGATAAAACGGCTGTGCTCTTGGATTTGGAGTAGAATTACGGATGGACACCAAGTGGACACTACTTCTGGAGAATGAGCACCACCACCACATTTGTTGAGTTGTCTAAATTAATATTTATTTGCTGTGGCCTATTCCTTTTTGTATTTGCTTCTCCTTCCCCGCCCCTCAGTTTTTGTGTATTTATCCTGTTTTGTTTTAACTGGAACTTTGTCGGTGTTGCAGGGAAGACAGGGCAGGGGGCAGGCCCACCTTGGTGGCCATTGTCAACCTGGGAATGGTAAGATCCAGAAAGGAAGGTGCTTTTTCGGAATGCCAAGAACGTTTGGGTGGCTTTGTGCCCAGCGGGGGTTCCCTGCAGAGGGTACTCTGCTGACTATGATTTGTGTAACTGTGTTCTTTCTTTCCTTTAGTTTATGTATGAGTTACACGTGCTGTTATGTTGTGATACAGCTGCAGATCAGTGTAAGCATCTCCAGTGACCTTCTCCTCTCCAGATGAACTTCTGTTTCACAGGAATCATTTCTATAAGACAAACAGAAAGAAGCACCTCAGGGGGGAAATGAACATGCTGGATTTGAACTCGTGGGGCGGGGGGGTTATCCAAGGTTGTCAGTGTGTGAAAATGGAAGAGTGGCACAGGGGCTAGAATGTTAGATTAGACCTGGGCTTCATATCAAGCCTGCTCCTAGGCCAGTCACGGCCTAATTGGACCCACAAGATAAAACAGTCAGGGAAGAATGCCCTAAGCACCTGCCTGAGCAATCTGGAAGGTTGGCAAAGTACAAATTGATAAGGAACTTAGGAAGCTCCTTTGCACTGAGTCAAACTCTGATTTGATGGTCTGACTCTGTTGATAATACTAAGTTTACACTGGTGGACAATGGCTGACTGGCAAGGGCTTTCTGGAGCTCATTAAGCAGAATGATTTCTCCTTGTTTTTATCTGGAGATCTCAGGTTGTCTCTCATCTAAGAAATAACCCGGCCCAACCCTGCGTAGCTTTTGAAATCAAATGTGATCCTGTACGTTCAGGGCGGCATGGTGGTCATAAGTTATTGTAATCGTCTGGAGCCTTTTGTACCAAAGGGGCTTCACGTTGAGGAGGGTCAACCAGAAGATTGTGGTACCTGGTGAAAAAGTGGTTACTGAAGTGAGGCCTGTGGCTCACATGAGCTGCCTGATGTTAATGTGTCCACTGAACTGTACAGCAGGCAGGACTTCTGTTAGAGCAAGGGTGGCCAATTCAAAGCCCGTGGGCAGCCCTGTCTGTTTTTCTTGCTCTTTGAGCCTTTCCACACGACTGTTGCCCCTGCCCCTAAATTTGGGTCTGTGTGTTTAAAAACAGAAGAATGGTTACTTCTGGACACCTCCAGGAGTGTCATTTCGCTTCTAAAGCAAAACACAGGGCCTTCTCTTCATGTGTACATGTGGACATTCTTTGTGTCCCCACCCCATCCCAGGACTTGATGTGAAATTCTGGTCATTCCTAATTTGGGGTAGGGAAAGGAAAAGAGAACCACTGTTTTTGGAAGGGATGCATCCTACGGCAGGTGCGTAAAGGGCAAGATTTTCTGTTTCCACCTAAGTTACCCACCCATGGTTCAAACTGTACCGTGGCTGAAGATTTTTTTTCAGTCATCCGTCAGGTGTCCATGACACACTTGAGTTATCCACAATGGCATCACTTGAGGCAAAACAATGGGGAACCAGTGGAATATGATGGGAGAAGAGTCCTCATTATGAAGCTCGCCATCTCTCAGCACAACTTCACCACTACCAAGGCTGGCCTTGTCCATAGGAGAAGGATGGAAGTCCTCTCAGGCTGCGGATTTGGTGCGCCGTGACATTTTACGTTGAGGACTGGGGAGTGCTGGTTGAGGGATGTTTTGCCTCATGGGCCAGAATGAGTTGGTTTTAGATACTGCGCACCTTGACCCCATTGGGTGCATGGGTTTTGCTGCTTCTTAGGGGTAGATGATAGATATGATCACGAAAGGCAAAGTTCAATGCTTAGTCCCAGCGAGAAGAGGCTCCCTGAAGGGATGGAATGTTTTAGATCAGTGGTTCTTAACCTTGGGTTACTCAGGTGTTTTTGGACTGCAACTCCCAGAAGCCTTCACCACCAGCTATGCTGGTTGAGGTTTCTGGGAGTTGCAGTTCAAAAACACCTGAGTAACCCAAGGTTAAGAACCACTGTTTTAGACCAACATTTATGTAGATCCTGTGGATTTACACTGGAAATAAGGACTATATTTACTCCTAAATGAGTTGGGAGAGAAACCGCAAAGATGGGCCCCGGAGAAAGTAGAGCTACCTTGGGAGAAGCAGAGATTGTCCAACGGAAGGCACCGAGTGCTGTGGTACTGACCAGAGGTGGGGTTACTGGGAAGATGCATGTGTCTCTCACACATACTTCAGTAAGATGTGTGGGCTGTGCCAGGGTGTATTTCGACCTGTCATACATCTTACAGCTTCTGAGTAGAAGACAACCCGTCTTTCCTCCTGCTGTGGTCCAGGCAGCTTCCGGAACATTTTAAAAGCAATGTTTAGTGTGTCTCCCTTCGATTAACCCTTTGTGCTCCATGCAGTTGCTCTGCCTTTTATTCAAAAGCCTAAGCCATGCTCTGGGAGTGGATTGCCCACTCAGCAGCTGATTTGGAGGAATCTCGTACCAGCCGGTCGACACTGTAAGAAGCTTTGAATGGTATTTGTGTGGGGGCTTGGCAATTCCCCCCCCCCACTTTGTTGGGTTGCACATCTCAAACTTCCATCCCCACCAAGCATACTAGGCCCTCGTTTTGGGGAAATTTGCCAAGCTCTACTTTTATGGCCAATCAGTGAAGTGACCACAAGAGCCCTCCCATTGGAGGAGAACTTGGAATGGCTCCCTGTGGCAAGTGCCAAATCAAGAGGGGGGGTATATAAAACAGTGTCCCCTACCTCAAATACTGAAAAAGCATTTTAAATTCTACTTTCCAGCAATGCTTGTGCCAAAGTCCATCCCCTTTAAACATTATCTTCTGCTTCTTTTTCTTTTTTGTCTTCCAAAGCATAAATAACTCGATGCATTCCTGTATTGTCACAATTTTGTGAGTCAAAGTCAGAAGAAGTGATTGGGCTGACAGCCTATTTAGTGACCATACTACCCTGTTTTCCCGAAAATAAGACCTAACTTGAAAATAAGCCCTAGGACGATTTCTCAGGATGCTTGTAATATAAACCCTACCCGAGAAATAAGCCCCAGTTAAGTGAAACCCTGCCCTCCACCCTTGTGCAGCAACCAGAAGATGACATGGCTGCATTTGAATAAATGTAGATGGCTGTACATGACAAAAAAATAAAAGATCGCCTGAAAATAAGGCCTAGTGCATTTTTGGAGCAAAAATGAATATAAGATGCTGTCTTATTTTCAGGGAAACAGGGTACCTTCTATGACACCACTGGCAGCAAAAGCCAATGCACATTCTGGTGTGTGTGTTGGACCTTCAGAAGCACCCTGTTCAAAGTCAACAAGAAGGCACAAGAAAAGCCAAAGTGACCTCCCCTCTTTCCTCCTGTACCCCAGTTTGTGGTGGCTCCTTGACACCTAACCTCATCTCAGTGTCTTGCTTCACTGCCAGTGCCTTATCTCATCTCTCCACCCACCTCCCATCCTAACACCCTACCAGTTGCCTCTTGCTTGTTTCTCTTCCCTGGTACATCTTTGCATAGAGTCAATACTGTTAAACGTGACAATTATTGGAAGAGATTGAGGGAGAGGCAGCCAGGCAGGTGAGGTAAGGTGTTGGAGCTGATGGAGAGAAGGGGGATACAGGAGGTGGGGTAGAGGGGGAGGCAGTGATGTTTCTCTCACAGGTCATGGGTGGGTTCACGATATAACCGGTCAATTAACTAGTCAAGAAACCCACATCTAGCAAATCAGGGTGGCGTCTTAAGTTTCAGCACCTGAACCCCATAGATCTAAACCCACCGGGAGTGGGCCAGCATGGAACTCATCCATTTGTTTTTAGAATACAACTCCCAGAAGCTCTGCTGCAAATCTGAGACTGATGGCAGTCAGACACCCACAACATGGGAATGCCCAACTCCTGATGTAGAACCTAAGTTGTAGCACAAGTGGCAACTATAGGGCTGTTTCAGGAGACAGAGCTTGGACAAGATGTACAGACTTACTCCAGGTTACTGGCACTTTTGCCCATCAATATCCAGTCCCCCCCCCCCCCGAAGCTCTGCTGCAAATCTGAGACTGATGGCAGTCAGACACCCACAACATGGGAATGCCCAACTCCTGATGTAGAACCTAAGTTGTAGCACAAGTGGCAACTATAGGGCTGTTTCAGGAGACAGAGCTTGGACAAGATGTACAGACTTACTCCAGGTTACTGGCACTTTTGCCCATCAATATCCAGTCCCCCCCCCCCCCCGCCGCTNCCTTGCTCATAATATCAAGCGAAGTGCAGGCAGCTGTATTTTCGCCCTGCTGCTCTCATTGCATGCTTCTCTGGAGGAGAACGATTCCACAGGCTTTGACAGCAGTATGATTGGGTCTGTGGTTGTACAATAGAGACTGAGGCTGTGACAGCAAGGAAGAGAGTGGACAGACTGAGAGTGAGGTTCAACCTTTGCTCTCTAACTTGGACCCTTGGGGGGGGGGCTGGGCCTTAGTTTGGGTTCCAGTGCTGGTCCTGGATTGCAACTTCTGTGCAGTCTGGAAAACAGTTTCCCTGGCTATGTGTTGAGAGAGATTCTGGTTTCTTGGTTGCTGATAACAAAATTTTGCAGGGGGATAAGATGAAAGATGCAGACGTATTTCTCCCATCAGCACCCCTTTCTATTTAGGGTGAGCAAGGTCTGGGACCCTCCAGGAATCCCTCTCTCACACATTCTAACACACACAGAGTCTTTCTCTCCTGTCAAGGAGGCGCAGGAGGGAATAACTCCCAAACTTATGGCTCAGCTACCTATACCACTGAACTATCCAGTACTTCAAATTTGGCACCAACTTTTGTGGGCTACAGCCCATGTTGGCGTATGTATGCTGTATAACCTCACTAGACAGACATTTGTACAGTGTGCAGAGGACAGGAGGTGGAAATGGCTTTCTTGCTAAAGGAAAGTGGAGTTTCGGGTGGAGGAAGACATTCAAAACAATCCTGCATGCTTCCTGATCTTGCCTAAAGGCCACGATAACCTTTCTACCTTGCTGTAGAACTGAGACTCTTATATTGGAGTGAAATGAAATGCTAAAGGAGGTAATAATCCTTCCTAGCATCCTCTCCCTGAACTCAACGTAAGAGTAGAAAAAAAAAGCCAGATTTACGAGTGCTTTACTGCATCAGACATGCTGTGCAGTAACACCACCCACTCACTCAGTATGCATAACCTTCAATGAGCACTTCCAGCCAAGCCCCATCTGTCTGCAGAATGTGTGCGTGTTGGCACCAGTTGCTGTTCTTTGTATCTGGCCTTCTGAGCACCTGTAAGTAAGGGAAACACCACGGAGATCAGCTGATCAATCTCCTCTCCATTCTCCCAAGGATTTGGGATCATAGTGTGGAAAGGGAACTTTTTTTGATTGCAACTCTCAGAAAATTCCAGGAGTTGCAATCCTCGCCTCCAAAAAGCAATTTCTCCATTTTCTGCTCTGAACCCTCACAGAGTGATGGAGTTAAGGAAAACTGTGTGTGTGCAAATGGATTTTTTTCCCCAGGCTTATTAGCAAACTTAGGTATAAATAGGACATTTGTACAAGCAGTAGGATGTTCATTCCAAAATGCATTTTCATTTAGCAGAGCGAGTCATCCATCAGCAGCATGGCTACGGCTATCTCAAGAAAATGGGTTTACATTTGCCTATTTGAGTTAGAAGACTTGACAGTACAAACTCTGTGCATGTTGATTACTCAGAAGTAAATCCCTGTAACGGAAAATTAAGTGCACGCAAGACTGTAGCTGGATTCCCCAGGGTGTCAGGTCTTTTCAGTTTTGTCTTAAGAATGATGCACCCCCCCTCCCCTTGCCAGGTTGCGTAAAAAGAAATAACCTCTTTTCTTCCAAAGCCATGCAACAATTCAAAGTCCTTCTTTGGACCAACAAGCCTCTGATGTGCCTCGAAGTCAGTGAGAGCAAATTTTGTGGCATGCAAAATATGGCCAAATTCCTAAGAAACATGCACTGTTCTCATGTTGGAATGGAGAGGGAAAATCCCTCGGGCCAGCTAGCTTGTTCTTCAGTCGGAGACACTTGCATATGTGATATTTTGCAGCCACCAATATATGTGCATTTGGGACTTTGAACAAAAACTGACTTTAAAGAACTGAGTCGCTGCAGACTCATTGCTAGCCGTTGGGCTGCTACAGTCTGAGAATGGTGAATTGCACATGCGTGATTAAGTCACGCAGCTCTTTGTATAGAATATGCTGTCACTGAGCATCATTACACATCTGAGCATCTGCTTGCTAAATGGAATAAAGAGAACAGACTGCTAGAGCTCAAACTGAAAGCCAGCCATCATTACTTCCTCAGTTTGGGATCTGGATACCCCCCTGTTGCTTTTAAGAGTTAGGTCAGCTGCAGATTTTCATTCTCTCTACCCCTCTCTGATGGACACAGATCTTGAAAGGCTGTTATGGGGAAATCTGAGGGGACAAGGGGCCCATTTTTTTCCTAGCTTCGCTCAAAGCACAAATACGGAACACTGCAAACAAATAGCTTTGCGATCTGGAGACCAAACCCATAGGTCGTTCCTCAGAGTAATGGTTTGGGTTGCTAGGTAGGCTTGTCGTAACCCAGTGACGGTGGGCATACGGTCGGGTTGAATTGTGTTGCAATCCATGGAAGGGTGGGAGTGCACACACCTCTGATTCTGTTGAGTTTTGTTTTGTTGGAACTGTTCTGAGTTATTCAGCATTGTGTATTAAAAGTATTTCTGTGTTAGGCTTAGCTTCTTCGGGATTGTAGAGTATAGAAACTGAACTTGGAGCCAGAGCTGTATGAACATGAACGGAAAAAAAAAAAGATCAAAGCAGGAAAAAAAATTGTCTTCTGGGTATTTCATT